TAATTAAAGTCATACTTCAAATATGACATGATCGTTTTGTCATTGTAATTAGTATTTAGAAATGAACCCTTATTCAGAGAAATGAAGTAATTGCTGATTAATAACTTCTATAATATTCGTTCACGCAGTGGATTATGTTAAATAACGTCTAAACAAGTAAGGTTTTTGGCAACTTCACTCATCATGTAATTGTGTTTGAAGAACTTCATGTAATTAAAATTAACATACATTCATTGACTGCTTGTATTTTTATTTACTTTTCCGTCGTCCATAGTAACTCATTTCTTGAACAGCTGTAATATCTGTCTTGCCTAAAAATATTTTCCATTTTAATAACTTCAAAGATTTATAGAAACTACGAATAATATAGAAATAATTTCTAAGAAACAGTGTAAATATTCTTCTGATTCAAGCATTTTTCAATAAATCAAGATTTGTACTACAACGATGTAGCTTTAAATGTTTATTTATCTATGCCGATTTTCGTGTTTATATCGGTACGCATACAACGTTGACGCCGGTACGCATACAACGACAGATCTTTATTCACATACGCGACAATAATCACAATCGACCCGTACAGAAATGATATCATCAAGAGCGAATGACGAATCATGGCACTTGACTCTTATTATCTGTCCGTAACGCACTTCCGTACGGATTTACGGATTTACACCCTAGTCGCCCTAAAGAAGTTATACTTAAAAAAACTCACTTAAAAACCATTGGGTTCACCGATCATGTTTATGTAGGGCTCTGATTCAAAGGAGTAATTGAGAACTTGTTCGAATAAACATACTTCATCTTTCTCCCTTTTAGACCCTATCTTATAATCAGTATAGTTTAGCTGTTATGACATACTCTGGCACAACCGTACCCAGTTAGCATATAAGTTTGAAGTATAAAGGGAAGGAAAATTGTGGATGACTTTTGCATATATATCATAATTCATTCAACAAATTTCAGGCCAAAATATTGACACTGAACATATAAATTATTTTGCGTTCTAGTAACTTAATTAACATCAGCCATTTGCAGTATCTGAGTGCTCGAGTCTATAGAACTCTTTTTTATCTAATTTTTTCTAGTGATCCACATTACTGGGATGTCGCCTTCTCATGTGAACATTTAAATTATGATTTCTATAACAACGAAAAGTGCAAAAAGCACATTGTATAGGAGGCTCCACTCCGCATTCTTTGAGATGCCGATTTAGAGTCTTCAAATACGAATAATGTTTCCCGCACATCGGACAAATTAGATTTTCTGGCATCTGTTTGAAATCTAAGCTGTTGTAATCCAGAAGAGAATCTTCTAAAAATAAAAAAATAAACAATTAGTAAGTATAAAAAAAATATTGTTTATAAAATTGAGCTGATATTAAAAAATGTCTATGCCTCCTTTAAAGGTGATACAAACCCTGTATATCAGATTAATAAAATCATATATACAAATTTTTAGAGTTAACCAGGTTTTGCAGAGCAAGATTGATCAACTTACCATTCCTAAATGTCTCTGTATGTTGAAATCTAAATTTTCAAATTTAAATAAAGACAATAATAATAAATCAATTATTACAAAATTTATTATAAGAAATCGTAACAATGAGATATACCTATCTATTATAATAATTCGGTATTAATTTAGTAAATGGCTTTCACTAACTCATAATTTTATTCACAATTAAGATCTTAGTTTAAGAATCTTTGTCAGCTAAAGATATTCAAATACAAACCAATATCTAGAAAAAAACGTTGAGTAAATAAACAGCATGCTTATATATTCTATGCATTCACATATATACATACAACAAAATACATATATAAATATCTAAAAAATAATGGGCAGTACTGCATTAGGGCAGGACCGAGAGCTGAGTTAAAATCCAACTTAATTCAGGGGATTTACCATTGCCGTATCACACCGCAGTGCCCAAAAAGCACTATTTTCAATTGGAAATATATTTTTAACTATGTTTCAAAGTACAAAAGGACATCGCTGCTGCACGATGTCACGTTGTTCAGAGCGCAGGTCGAACTCACCAATCCGTGAACTTAACCATCACACTATAAAACATCAAGTAAAAAATAATTAAACTAAGAATTTTTCAAACATCTTTATTTTTTCATACGTTTCGACGTAAAATTCTACGTCATCTTCAGTGATTCTACAACTTTGAATTTTGAAATAAACAGAAAAAGTAAAGTTAAAATCTAAATATAAATAGAGAAAGAAAAAAGGAATTTAACTAAAAGGACAGCCTATATATATAAATTGAAAAATTGCAAAAAACATTACTTACTTGAAATTTTTAGATTAACACTAATACATATTAAAATCACATAATATGTAAATAATACAAGTTACAAATTAAGTTTTTTGAAATTATACTTTATGTGTTTTTAATATGTATTAGTATTAATCTAAATATTTCAAAGTAATGTCTTTTGTAATTTTTAATTTAAGATTTAGATTTTAGTAACAGTTCTAAAAAATAATTTACATTTTATTACAACAAAGAAAACTATAATTGTGAAAAATTTAAACAATGTATGCCATAATAATTATTTTAATTTTTGCCAAAATTATGTACCTATTGAGTAATTTTTTTGCACAAATATTTGAAGTATTATACACTTCTTTTAGAATTTTATTGTACAAAATAAATAACTTCAAGTATATTTTTTATTTCAACAAAAATATATATTCATAAATATAGTAAAAATTATTCTTTTTAATTAACCAAATATCTTTCATAGCAGTTAAGTTCTTAAAGTACTCTATGATAAAATAATAGATGATTTTTTAATAATTTTACAAACAAAATTTTTATATTCCAAAACAAACCAAAGAAATTGATTAATCAAAAATATCAAAATAAAAATTAATAGTATACATCTAACCTTAAGTAAATGAAACATTAATTATCATAGTTGGTTTTACCACAAGCATCATATTTCTCCATAAATAAAAGTTTATGATTCATCAATAAAATAAACAACAGAAAGTATAGTTAATTATTCATAACAATAATATCAAGTTTTTTTTATATATATTGTAAATTATATTCCCATTTCTTGTACAGAAAACATTGCAAATTCCGGGTGTCTATTTTTGATATGAAAGGCAAGATTTCCTTTTCTGTGAGCTTTATATGGACAAACTGGACATTGAAATTTCGGTGGATTTCCACATTCATATGTAACATGATTATAAAGACTGCTTTGGTATTTATATGTTTTGCTACATTTTTTGCATTTGAAAGATGCATTTTCATTAACTACAGTGTTCAAGGTAAACTGGTCTTTCCTTTGGATGGCAGCCAGTTTTCCTAATGGATCGTAGCCGCAATAGAAGAAACCTGAGAATAAAAAGTTATATAATACAAAAGATATTTTAAATATATATAAATATAATTAAATAATGTGTTTATAAAAATTGCCTAATAGCAGATGCTGCATTAAATTACCTACACTAATATAATAAAAAACGCCCTTATTTGGAGTTCCAAAATCTTCAACTTAAGTTTTTATCTCTACTCATAAATATGTACATTAATATTATAATAATTTATATTTTGTGTCTTTTAGCATAGTGTAACTTCAAATTTCCTCTCTGATGGCACCGATATTGACAAATGTTGCAATGGAACATGGGTTCGACCCCACATTCATATCTCATATGTCTTTGAAGACTTCTCACATATGAATAAGGTTTATTGCAATTGTTACACCTAAACAATTCCATGTTATTTCGACTCTGTTGAAGTGTATAATCTGAAACGATAATTACAATAAAATTAAAATAATTTTAGAGTAAAGAAAAAAAAAACAAAATTAATAATATTAACAAGAAATTGAATTAGACACATTTCAAAATGCTGAATAATGTTTCTGTTGTAATGGTTTCGCATCTTGTTTCGGATTTGATATCCACCTTCCAGATTGGTTCCAAGCGGTTATGATACCAGATGATTATTTGAAATTATAGATCTCTAACATAAAATTACCTTAGTTAGATAACCCAAACATGCAGCTCGTCGACCCGGAGCTTTGGCGCCGGGTCGACACGCCAGATGTTCTTGTTCCCACGAAACGCAGGTACCGATAATTCGCGATATCGGTGATGGACCTTTTTACCCGCGGACCTATACTCTATATTCAATTAGTGAATGTAAATAATTGCAAGGAAAATAACCATATAGTGTTTGTAGTTTATTATTTACAAATAATTATTTTTCGATAATTTCTAATATAATACAACATTCTTAGATAGCTTGAGCACATAATGGATTTATTTATCATATACCTACTTATTTTAATCAAATGAAAAATTAATTTTAACAATAATTTAAATATATATGAATTTTTCTGGATATCTTTTATTAATTATGACTTTTAAACTTCAGAATCTTCTTTTTTCCTTGAGTTCAGAAGTTTAAAAATCATATATTAAAATATAATTTATGTACCAAAACTCAAAAGCATACTGCATATTATGATTTTATAAAAATATAAAATAAGTTATTAAATTTTCTTAGGAAGTAATATAATTACAAATAAATTAAATGATATTTTAATTCTCATCGTCTAAATAAATAAGTCAATTATATAAAGTATGATAAATAATTACTCAAATTAAATATATTATTTATTTATTTATAATAATAAATATTTATTTATTTATTTTAATCTATTCATTTTTAGCTCTATCAAAAATAAAATTCCTGATAATGCTTATAGCCTTTATGTGTCCCCATATGTCGTTTTAGGTTCGATTTTTGATGACTTCGGTATCCACACATAGTGCAATTAAATTTTGGCTCTTTTTTACATTCATTTTTCAAATGAGATTGTAAATTTCTTTCATATTTGTAAAACTTTCCACAGTCTCGACATTGGAAGAATACTTGTTTCGAGGATTTTGAAGTAGCCGGATAATTTGGAAAACCTGTAAAGTAAAAGTATAATAAAGTTAGTCTTCTTATCAAATTGGTAATGATATAAATTAAGATGAAATGAGCGCGTGGTTTTAAATTTGCAAGATAGATTGTACGCTAGAAAACTTAATTTAATATATAATTTTTATTTGTTAATCTTTTCTGTTATAATATGTTACGAAATTAGTGATATTAGTATATGGTAAAAAAATCTCAATGAATTTTGAATAATGTAGGCACATGTATAATAAAAACTAAAAGCATACTTTTTTTTCAAATAAAAAAAAAACATTTTTTAAATAATTTTGTTCAACTTTTTGAGGAAAATGGGTAGCTTCTTCAGGAACCATTGATAAAAAATTAAAAAATATATTATACCTTTATACACTTACTTTTTTTTAAATTAACTAACAAATGATCTACTGATTAAAAAAAGAAATAAATAATTTTCTGAAGAAAAAAGGAGGCTTTTAGTTCAGAAATTTTAAAATCGTACATATAATACCTGTACATAATTATATTATTGAAAATAAATATATAAACGTATATCTCTTACCTAATAATTAATAAATATTGATTTTAACACTAAAATTCAAATAATACCTTTATAAATAATCACAGAAACTCATAATTTCTATATTATTTACTAATATATACAAGTGTTTTTCAATAATATTTACTATAAATTTACAAAAAATAGAACAATGCTTTTAGAAGTGATTTGATAGATTACCGTTATTTATATATCAAAATATTTTAATTAACTTTATGAATAAAAATTATATTGAAGTACTATTTTAAGTAGGATGTAATAGCATTCAATAAATAATTATTATTATATAAGTTATATTAATCAATTAAATAAAGACTAAATAAAGGTCATTCCACTATAAAAATTGCCATTAATACTGCATTGAAACATAATATATAGCGTTCTTTATAATTATAAAGTTGTATAAAAAGTACATAAAAACTAACATAACAAGTCCAAAATATCAATTAATTAAGGTTAACATCAAATTTGTTGTGCTTTTTTGCATAATGTAGTTTCAAGTTTCCTTTTTGGTGACACTGATAATTACACAAAGTACACTGAAACATTGGAGCAACTCCACATTCATATTTCATGTGCCTTTGAAGATTTCTAATGTATTTATAAGGTTTATTGCAATTTTTGCATCTAACTATATCGCCAAAAGTTTGGTCAAAATTTCTTCCAAAAGTTTGTGTACTAGGTATAAATTCATTTGCCATAGGCAAGGTGGCAAAATAACTTGAATTGACTTCTGCGTTCTGCCAAGAAGGATGAAAACCTGAAAAATAAAAAATTAAATATTAGAAAAAAATTTAATATCTTGAAATGTCTGGACTCTAGACCAAAAGTAATTTGAACTGTTCATATAAAAATATGGAATTTAATATGTTAAGTAAATAGTTAGCAAATTCTGTACTATTATAGTATATTTAGAAGTTTAGAAGTTTAGAAGTTTTTTGAAGAAAATTCCACTTACTTCAAAACACAGCTTAAAAAAATATTTAAAATTTTAAACCCATTATATATATTTGCTAAAAATAAATAATACCTATTGTGCGATTAATTATACTACAGGGTCCGGCACTCGAAGTGTAACCAATTGAAAAAGCCATAAATTTAGTTTGGAAAATTACTTTTACTCGATTCAAAGTACAAAATGTGTAAAAATAATACAACATTTAAAAGCAATTTACTTTTGCTCGATATCACCACCTTTTGCTTTGACTATGGCCTTTAGACGGACCCAAAACAAATCGCATTGGGCCGAACGTGGTAAATTTTCGAACATTGTGTTTTTCGACGAGAAAATTTTTACAGTTGAGCAATTTGTGAACTCTCAAAACGATAGGGTTTACTTGACCGACAGTTCAGACAAGAATTTGAGTCATCAATTGGCAACCAAGAGGCAGCACCCGCCACAGAAAATGGTTTGTTCCGCTGTAGCCGCAGATAAGCGATCTCTAATCGTTTTCATCGTGCCTGATGTCAAGGTAAATGCGCAATATTATCGGTAAAGTATTCTGAAGGTTGCTTTGAAGCCATGGGCTGATAAACATTTTGGTGGCACACCATGGACGTTTCAACAGGACTCGGCAGCGTCTCATAAAGCTCGAGTAAACCAAGAATGGCTGAAAACAACGTTCCGAACTTCAAAACGTCCGCACAATGGCTATCGAATTCACCAGATGCGAATCCTATGGATTATTTTCTTTGGGCCATTTTAGAGAGCAAGGTCTTAACTAAGGGGTACATCAGTCTCGAGGCGCTAAAAAAGGCCGTTGTCCGCCAGTGGGCCAAAATACCTGCAAGTCACGTTCGGCCCAATGCGATTTGTTTTGGGTCCGTCTAAAGGCCATAGTCAAAGCAAAAGGTGGTCATATCGAGCAAAAGTGAATTGCTTTTAAATGTTGTATTATTTTTACACATTTTGTACTTTGAATCGAGTAAAAGTAACTTTCCAAACTGAATTTATGGCTTTTTCAATTGGTTACACTTCGAGTGCCGGACCCTGTAGATATCACAAATTTTCAAGACATTATGCAATAGAGTGTTTTATTGATAGACCTTACTACGTGAACTCTAGTTCCTATATGTTTTCCATTTTATAAAGCGTAAAAAGTAAAAAGGGACTGTGGCATCACTATGTGAACGAGCGATGCCGACAATCGTGGAACACTCCCGATTGATTAAATGTCATATGTCACGTGCTTAATTAATTTTTGTGAAAAAATGTTATCATTCGGGAGTGTCCGCGATTGTCGGCAACGCTCGTTCACACAGTGACGTCACAGTCCCCTTCTATCTTTTAAAATTTGTTTTTTGCTCGACAAGCATTCCATGTATTATAGGGTCTATGATATTATTACATAATTATTCATCAGATCATCACATTTATAAAAAATGGATTTCAGAACCGTATTTGGATATTGTTTCTTATAATTATTCACAATGCAAATATATAGGATTTATTATTACTTATTGCTAATATCAATCAACATTATAAATTTGACTTAAATATAGATTATTTACAAATTTCTAATCGATAAAAATATTTAATTCAATTGATCGATAATCGATAAAAACAGTGTCTTAAAAACGTCAAATACGAGTTTTTATTATATCAGCATAATATGAAAAAACAATTGTGATTAAAAAAATCTGTATTTTGTAAAATACTGAGTCACAAAATACAACATATTTTAATTGTAATAAATTTTAATCTCTTAAATTGGATAAAATTCACGTTTTAAATTTAAACTGATCCTGGTATTCGTGGTATAATAGTAGAGACAGTTCGTTACAAAATTATTAACAAATTAAAATTTATTTTTTAATTATATGAATACAATAATAATTTTGACCAAATACATAATAGCAATCAAAGACCACATGATATAAAATAGGGCATATTTTTCAGTTAAACTTCTACATCAATTTCGAAATGTGACAATCATCCATAGCGCCATAGTGAATTAAAAAACATTGGATCAGAACACAAGGCACTGCCATGTACACTGATCAAATGTTTTTTAATTCCTGATTTTTGAAAACTTCTAGCTCCACAAATATTGCAAAGAAATTTTGGTTCTTGATTGCATTGATATTTCAAATGTGAAGTCAGAGTATGCTTGTATTTATATATTCTTGAGCATTTAGGACATTTGAACGCATTTTCAAGGATTGATGATCCGTTGTATCGATTTCGTAGATAAAAATCTGAAAAAAAGGAAAAAAATGTTACAATAATATTTAATAAAATATTTATTATTTATATGTTTGCATTAAAAATAAACACATATATCAATGTACAGAAAATTAAGTTCACGTTGAATATTTATGGGAACCTACAATAAATTAAATATTAAATTTCAACAATTAGATTCAAATTTTATTAAACTAATTGTATAAATTTGTTCAAATATACATTTTCAATTTTTAAAATTTAGTATTATAACAAACTTATTATTCTAAGATTTTCCAGATATTTTGTTTAATGAAATCACATTATTTCTCAAAATGAAATGAAGAAGCAAATAAAAATATAGGAAGTAATATTCAGTGATGCAAAAATAATCATACTAAAACCATAAATTTGCTTGTGAAATTTCTATATAAATTTAATGCTTACAGACCATTTTTTTGAAAATTTACTTCGAAGTACAATAAATACAATATCTTTTAATTTTAATAAACTTTAATCTTTTAAATTGGATGACATTCACGTTTTAAATTTAAACTGATCCTGGTATTCGTGGTTGTATAGTAGTGAGAGTTTGTTTGAAGTTATTTAGAAATTAATTTATATTATTTTAAATTTATTTTTAAATTAAATAAATATATTGATAGACTCGTTCAAATAAATAACAGCAATAAAAAACTATAATATACGAAAATAAATATACGTCATATTTTTCAGTTAAACTTCTACATCAATTTCGAAATGTGACAATCATCCATAGTGCCATGTATTCTGATCAAATGTTTTTTAATTCCTGCTTTTTGATGACTTCTAGCTCCACAAATACTGCAAAGAAATTTTGGTTCTTGATTGCATTCATTTTTCAAATGTGAAGTCAGATTTTTCTTGTATTTATATATTCTTGGACACATAGGACATTTGAACGCATTTTCAAGGATAGATGTTTCGTTGTATCGATTCCGTAGATCAAAAACTGAAAAAAAGGAAAAAATGTTAGAATAATATTTAATAAAATATTTATTTTTTGACAATTCTTGCAGTAATTTTTTTTCGCAAATTGTTTACAGTAAATTAAAAATAAACACATATGTATATCAATGTACAAAATTAAGTTCATGTTATGGGAACCTGTATTAAATTAAATATTAAATTTCAACAATTAGATTCCAATTTTATTAAACTTATTGTATAAATTTGTTCAAATATACATTTTCAATTTTTAAAATTTAATACTACTAAATATACATTATAACAAACTTATTATTCTAATATTTTCCATATAAGCTCCAAATTTTGTTCAATGTCACATTGTATCCCACAATAGCAATAATCAATTTTATTTATAAAGAAGCAAAATAAAATATAGGAAGTAATATTTAGTGATAAATAAATATTAATACAAAAATCATTAAATTGGTTTGTAAAACATCAAAGTAAACTTAATGCCTCCAGACCATTTTTTTGAAAATTTACTGCAAAATAGCTATCTATATTTCAGAACATAATACAAGCAATTTAAATAAAATCAATAAAATAATAATTTTATGAACAACTTCTTATCAAATAGGATTTTGAACTTAGTGCTTACTTAGTTGTAACTTACAGTAGTTATTTGAATTTTTATATATAACGGTAAAAATAATTATTATTATATTAGAAGATATGTTTAAAATATTATAAATAATAATTTATAAACACATAACTTAATTACTAAAAAATCACATGAATTCACAAAAAACTTTTTAAAATTTTGCTTCACAAACAGCTATTTTTCTATTACAATTTTACTGGAAATCACATTTGTATTTAGGAATATGAATATGGGAATTTGCATGCTGATCAATTAGGTTCGAATAAGAAACACATAGTACTTTGTCCATTGATTTTATACTACATGGACTGCTAGTCCTCATATGTTTTCCATTGTATAAAGTGTATAGAGATAGAAAGGACTGTGACGTCATGCTGAACGAGCGTTGCCGACAATCGCGGAACTCTCCCGACATTTAATCAATCGGGAAATTCCACGATTGTCGGCAACGCTCGTTTACTAAGTGACGTCACAGTCCCCTTCTATCTTTATGCACTTATTTTGCGCTCGGCTAGCAGTTCATGTAGTATGAAGTCTATGACTGTGGTTATTACAAAGAATTGAATATATCCATATAGTATTTTAGTTGACCTTAAATCGAGGTCTTTGAATACATAAAAAGTTGAAGTTGAAGTTGAAGAAGGTGCTGACACATAAATCCTTTGTGCGCTTGGAAATATTATAAATAATTAGAAATTAAATGTTAAAAATAGTTATTACAACTTTATTATTGTTTATGCACTCTTATAACATGGCGCTTCAAGGTGCTCCTCTGATGTCCTCTGTACGAACAGAATGGACATTGGAATTGGGGCTCTTTGCCACATTCATATCTTGTATGACTGATAAGATGTTGTCTCCATTTATAGATTTTGTGACAATCTGGACATTCATATTTTCCATGTAAATCATCACTTGGTTTTGGCACTCTTCTCCTGTGGACGGTTTGCATGCCAACGTAGGAGGGACTAAGATGAGGCTCAGGATGCACCACTGAAAATAGAGATGGGATTTATGTGTTAATTTGATAAGTCATTACCTTATGAATTTTCCCAAATTTAATTTAAATTTAAGAAAACTGAATGTCAGAATGAACTGGCCAGAAGCAAAAAAATTAACCCCTTCCCGTGCCATTTAGCTCGACTAAACTTGGGCACAAATGTAGTGATAATTATGTTTAAGCCAACAATTTATTCAAGAGCCTCCCAAGTTACATCCATTACTGGGTCTAAATTTTTATCCAGAACCAGGTTCCTTAAACCACGAGAACAGGTTAACATCAATTTAACAACAAAGAGTTGAGCAACAAAGAAGCAATACACAAATCATCTACAAAAACTATCCAATTATATTAATTAACCGACTCACGTTTTCTAAAATCGTTAAATCTGGCTTCCATAGATTGGACTTGTTTTGCGTGCAAAGTACTGGCGTTGATGCAACCAATTTGGATGTGAAGTCTTAGGCTGCTGGGACTTGGAAATGCTTCTCTACAACTAGGACATCTATGCCAAAGTGGATTTTCTTCTTCGTACTCATTCAGAAACTTCGTCAGTGCGTATGATACAGAAACTGAAATGAAATCAAGAACGAAGTTAAAATTTGTCCTGATATCATAAATGTAAATTTGGTACTTTCTAACACGTAGATGAAAAACTAGCTTAAAAATGATGACATACATACATATATATGAGATGAGTTTAAACCCATATCTAGTGTTTGCCTGCAAAAAATGGTAATAGATGTTAAATAAAAATTGGATTAAATAGAACAGAGTCAACTAAATACAAAGTATTGCTACGTCAAACCTTAGAAGATACAGTTTGCGCTAAAAAGGAGATTCTTGAATTTTTATGATCACAAAACGAAATTTTGGCTGAAGTATACCTAAAAATTTAATACAATTTTTTTATTTAATTAAATTGTGTATTATATTATTATTTTTCATGTTATTTCTATTATCATTGTGTGTTCTCATCAGTCCTAATTTGTGCATCGATTTAGTCTATACCTGAAAGATATCTGAATAATATTATAATATATAATAAAGTTATTAACAATCTCAATGTGATTTATTATTCACAATTTCTATAATACTTGAAGTAATATATAAAATAATGCTATTTTTGCTTGAAAACATATTTCTATCTATATTTACAAAGATGCCCAAGGATGTTTGACACTTCTGATTAAAATCTCAAAACTAAAATTTTATATATTATTATAGAATGTTTTTCATCTGTATAACAAATTTGCACGTGGCAAATAAGTCAATTACCTGAATAGTTTTATAATACTAATAAAAATGAAAATAAAGAAAATAATCCAAACAAGTGTATTCTAATCTACAGATAAATCATAATATTAACTAACAAAATTTAATAAAAAACATCTTACTGACTTAATAATTCATAGTATTTGCATAAACAAAGTATGAGAATTGTTGTATTGCTGTTATTTATATGTCAGAATATATTACATAACATATTATCAAATTCTGATAAAAAATTAAGGTGATGTAGATTAAATGTAGATTACAAATAAAAATCAGAAAATAATTAAAATAAATGTCAGCATTTAAACCATTAAAAAGTGTAACAGATTTTGCATTTTAACAATATCTAATCTCTTATAAGTAAGAAAAACCTGAAAAACCTCTAATCATAATCTTAAATCTAAAAAAAAATATCAATAATACTGAAAACATACATAAATCTAAAATTATACTTACTAAAACTATTTAGAAATATAAAACGTTTTACATATCGAAATGAAATAAAGAGCAATAGTCTTTTAAGATTTGGCATTTTAACAATATCTATTCTCATAAAAGTAAGAAAAACCTGAGAAAACTCTAATCATAATCTTAAATCTAAAAAAAATATCAATAATAAGAACATACATAATTCATAAATTTACTTATTAAAACTATTCCTGACGAGGCACTTAAGAAATAATGCATAAGCATAATAATAACAAACAATGACAAAATTTAAGCATCTTAATTATAATTATAGCTAAAGTAATAAGTTTCTTACAAACTAAAATATTTAAAAAAAAAATAAGATTAAATATTGTTGGATTGCTGTTATTTATATGTGAGTTACAATGAAATCTGTTTAAAAAATTATGTCCATCAATATATGAAGATAATAAAGAATAATTGTGGTTACACAAATTACAAGGAAAAATGTTTAAAAAAATTAAATTTAAAAATGAATATCAGCATTCAAACCTAAATAATGTACTAGTAAGTTTTTACATTTTAACAATATCCTTAAAAGTAAGAAAAACCTGAGAAAACTCTAATCATAATCATAAATCTAAAAAAAATCATCAATAATACTAAAAAAGCATAAATCTATAAATTTACTTAATAAAACTATTCCTGACAAGACACTTACAAATAATGCATAAGCATAGTGAAAAAACAAATATGGCAAAATTAACTTAATTAATTAACTTAAGAAATTTGTTTCTTATAAACTAAAACATTAGAAACATTAATTAAAAAATTATTATCATATTAGTTTTTTAGCTCCAAAACAATCGAACAAAAGCTTATTATTCACGTTTTGTGAAAATAACATATTTAAAATTTAACTTGTTTCATAAAAAATATCAGCAGAAATAATATACATAACATATAATCATTCATTAAAGTCATGATATTTATAAAAAAAAGTGAAAATATTAATGCAACACCGGTATACCGGCATACCAAAATACCGGTATACCGTCCAAATTTTCGGCGGTATTAATACCGGCATTTACTTGAAAATATCGAATAAATATCTGTATTGTCGTATGGAACAAAATATTTAAATCTAGGCCTTCTATCGCATTTATATCTCATGTGGTCTATCAGTTCATCTGTCTCAAGAATCGTGCTGGACAATGAAACCAACCTCGTCCTGGACACTTATACCAGCCACTATTGGATGGTGAGCAGAAATATTCAAAATGGTCTGAGATAGATTCTTGATTTTTATACCGTTTATCACACATAGTACAGAAATATTCTCCTTTGAGCATGGGCCCTCTGAGCTTTCGCATTTTTCTATATTGAAGTGATAATTTTCGTCCTGAAAATAGAATAATAATGAAAAGTTAGAATAAAGCATCAAAGTGGAATTTCTAATAAAATCTTAGGTAACAAAATTTTTTTCATAAAAATACAAACTATCCACGAAGGAACATGGCATTAGGAAAATAAGACACAATGAAACTATATCCAAGCATTGAGTACCTATACCAAATTTGCATAAAAATTACCATTCATACTCCTAATATATCCGACATAAATTTATGATAACAATACTATTATTATAATAATAGGTAAAATACCTATTATTATAATAGGTAAAAAAAAGAAAATATTTCAAATAAGTTTATTTTAGCCTATAAATAAATCATAATTATTACATAATTAAACATAGTAGACTCAATGATTCATACTATTTGCATCAAAAACAAAGTATAAAAATTGTTGCAATGCTGTTATTTATATGTCAGTTAGAATATATAAAATATTAGCAAATTCTGACAAAAAAAATTAAGGTGAAGTAGATTACAAATAATATTCGTGATAACACAAATTACAACAAAAAAATGAATGCCAAGATTAAATTAGAAAGTGTAATAAATCGAACCGTTTAATATAAAACAATGCACTAATAAGATTTTACATTTTAACAATATCTATTCTTAAAAGTAAGAAATCTTGAGGAAACTCTAATCATAATCTTAAATCTAAAAAATATTATCAATAATACTGAAAATATAGAGAAATCTAAAATTATACTTACTAAAACTATTTAGAAATATAAAACGTTAAACATATTAAAATGAAATAAAAAGCATTAGTCTTAATCAAGATAATTTTTGGCATTTTAACAATATCTATTCTCTTTAAAGTAAGAAAAACCTGAGAAAAAGCAATGTACTCATAAGATTTTGCATTTTTGCAATATCCATTCTTTTAAAAGTAAGAATAACCTGAGAAAACTCTAATCATAATATTAAATCTAAAAGAAATTATCAATAATACTAACAAAATGCATAAATCTATAAATTTACTTAATAAAACTATTCCTGACAAGGCACTTAAGAAATAATGCATAAACATAGCAATAAGAAAAAGCAAATATTGCAAAATTAACTAAAATTAATTAACTTAGGTAATTTGTTTCTTATAAACTAAAATGTTAAAAATATTAATTAAAAAATTATGATCATATTTGTTTTTTAGCTCCAAAACAATCGAACAAAAGCAAATTCTCGATACTAATTTTGTGAACATATTTAAAATTTAACTTATTTTTTCAAAAATGGTTGGCAAAAATAATATATAAAAAGTAAAATCATTTATAATAGTCATGATTATTATAAAAAATGCCTATAGTTACTTTCTCAAAATTCCAGTAAGTACTACTATTCTTCAGCAAGATTTCAAAACTTCGAACAACAAAAAATATTTTCTCAAATATTTAGAACACTCACAATAATCAGATATACATTGAAAATTAAATTTAATAATATACACAATGTGTATATCGAATAATCGTGAGTGTTCTAAGATTTGAAAAAAAATTTTTTTCTTATTCGAAGTTTTGAAGTAATTGCTGAAGAATAGTAGTACTTATTTGGGGAATGCAATACCCAATTTGGGTGTACCAATTTGGGTGTACCAAAATACCGGTATACAGCTCAAATTTTCGGCGGTATTAATACCGGCATTTACCAAAAAATATCGAATAAATATGTGTATTGTGGTATGGAACCCAATATTTAAATCTAGGTCTTCTATCGCATTTGTATCTCATGTGGTCTATCAGTTCATCTGTCTTAAGGAATCGTGCTGGACACAAAAACCGACCTCGTCCTGGACACCTATACCAGCTACCATTGGATGGTGAGCAGAAAAATTGAAAATGCTCTGAGATAGATAGTGAACCTTCATATGGTTCAGCACATATAGTACAGAAATATTGTCCTTTGGCCTGCTGCCATTTGAGCTTTCGCATTTTTCTATATTGAAGTGATAATTTTCGTCCTAAAAATAGAATAATAATGAAAAGTTAGAAGAAAGCATCAAATTATCTCCTGTATGGAGTATCTAATAAAATCTTAGGTAATAAATTTGTTTTCGTAAAAATACAAACTATCCATGAAAGAGCATGGAATAATATTAGAAAGTTTGGAAATAAGACAATGAAACCATATCAATTCTTAAAATTGAAGTATGAAATTTATAATAACATTATATATTTTTAAGTTTTCAATTACAAAAATATCAAACCTTATGACTAAAAAATAAGTACATATTCCATATACACCTATAATAACAAAAATAATCAGTCATCTATAATTTTTCTTAAACATTTTAAGAATTAACATTTATCACATATATCACATACACTGAATTCATAACAAGTTTAAACATTTTCAGATAACTCTTCGATAATAATAATATTTCATATTTGTTTGTTTAAAAATATCATATTATAATAAAAAATATAATAGAGTAAATTTATAGATATTTATATAAAAATAATAGATTTTATTTCATAACATTTTTCCTCGAATTAATACTCAACAGATCATATTTGTAATACTTTATAAAAATAATATGATTGTTAGTTTTTATTAATTATTTGTGTTAATTGGTTTATTTCGATAATACGTAGGGGAGACTGGATACAGTTGTACCAGGATGCGGTAGTGACAGGCATCAAACAGCTAAACTATACTGATTTTGAGATAAGGTCCAAAGGGAAAAAGATAAAGAATGTTTGTTCGAACAAGTTCACCTACAAGACCTACAAGTTTTTAATAATTACGGTAGCGACAGTCGTCAAAACAGCTGAACTTTAGTGATTTTGAGATAGGGTGCAAAGGAGAAAAATGAAGTATGTTTGTTCGAACAAGTTTCCATTATTGCATTGAATCAGTGACCTACAAGTTTTTATTAATTATTTTTATATTGACGTGTTAATAGGTTTATTACGATAATGCGTAGAGAAGACTGGGTACATTTGTACCAGGTTACGGTGGTGGCAATAGTGAAAACAGCTAAACTCTACTGATTTTGAGGAAAAGTCCACGAGAAAAAGATGAAGTATGTTTTATTCGAACAAGTTTATATTATTGCATTGAATCAGCAACCTACAACCACGTAGACAAATGTTCGAATTAACAAATTTATTGCTATTCAAAAAAAAATTGCACAACCGTACCTACTCTCACATACTATATGCTTTGTATAAAAATAAAAAATGCAACGTAAAAAAGCTGATATAAAAGTTTAATAGAATAAAAAAAATTCGTATTATAGTAAAAGTAATTTTTAAGTTTGTAAGTCGTTTCAGTTATTTTTAAAGACTACGGTCAAATTAAAGACGAATAACAAAAATGACCCTTTGAAGTAAAAATCAGTCATATTTATGTTTGGACTTCGCATGGCCTCACAACGTGGCTTTTATAGTGACTTTTATAAGAGCAGAATTTGCAGCTAAAAGCCGGCTGTTTATTTCCACATTGGTATCTTATATGTCGTAATAAATGCTGCTTCTTTTGTACGATTTATTACATTCTGTACATGTATGATTCTCTCTTAGATCCAAAAAATGATGATCCAAAAACCAAAATCCGGATCACTGGATAACAACGAAGATGCTTCGCCAAATCTGAAAAAAAATTATAATATGTCAGATTGATAGCAAAAATATTTAGACATTTGAAAATTCCCATGTTAATCTATTTGAAAAGTTCATGTTGAAAGTAAAAATAAATATGTAATTATAACAAAATGTACTGCATTATATTTATTATTATTATATATACAATATTTACAGAAATATTATTACCATAAGTAGCAAATATTTACAATTTCTAATAATTAAGTACGTATTTGTAATAATTAAGTAAGGGAAAATTGAAATAAATCAAACTTTATTATTATGAAAATTTCATATGAAATACCATAAAATTCCACACAAAACAGATGAAATTCCAATATAAAATGTAACTAGTACGTATTGGTATTTTACGTATATGTAAAAATAATCGACTTAATCAAAAAAAGTAATTAATTTATGAGTGATTGAAAGTATTCCGAGTAAATTTATTACACATAATTGAAAACGAACGAATACATTAACTCGGAGTATTTTCTAAAAGCAAATTTCCAAAAATCTATAATTTTTATAATTGAACCAGTTTCCGTAAGATTTTAATGGTTTAGTAAGTTTATTAAGACCAAGTACTCTTTCGTTATACCAAGTAATCGCCTAATTTTAATTTAAAAAAACGTCAAAAAAACTAAAAATTTTCTCAAATTTTGATGAATTTTAAAAATTAAACTACTTGTCGTAAGACCGTAATATTATATTTCAGTAAGTTCTGTAAGACCATGATTATTTTGCCAAAAAGAAGTTCTATAAAAATCGGCTTAAATATTTTTTCAACAGTTAATTACAAAAAAACGTCGATTTACGGAAAAAAATCTGTTCACATATACAAACGAACACACATGCTTTTTCCATTTTGAAACTTAAAATTAGCGAATCGCATTTTTTGATGAAAACAAACTTCTCATTTGGGAAATTAAAAAAAAATATTTAAGATAGTGTTTCTAGATATCATTATTCGTTTTCCCATATTGTACTTCATCACGATGTCTATAATAATGTCGATTCAAATTACTCAAATAATGACTTTTATAAGGACACAAATGGCAATAAATTTCGGTTCTTTCCACATTCGAATTTCTGATGTCGTTGCATATTGCCTTTGTTGAATAACTTTTATTGCACGTAGGACATTGCACCATAGTATTGGAAGTATTGAATGTTTTTCCTTGATTGTTATATTTAAGTTTTTTCTTCATTTTCAAAGGTACGCCATTGAGTTTCTGATGCATTTATTGTACCGTCATCGAGAAGTCCAAATTTAAACAAGTTCTGCATATCTGCAAAAATAAGAAGATATGTTAGGTAAAGGAAAAACTAATAAGATTAATTATCGCAATTGGAAAAATTCAGTTGTTGTTACGTTAACGTACATGTTAACGAATTTGTTAAAATACATATTTTATACATTTTTAGACAAATATACAAAAAATTATAAATACTATGAAATATACTAAATGTCTAAAAAAAGCTGTTGCTTTACAAAATATGTAGCAATGATGGATTTAAAAATTTACAGCAGATATATTATAAACAGGTAAAGAAATATTAAAAGTGTATTAAAATTTATAAGGAAACTAAATAGTCTCAATACACTTTATTATCTGTAATAAGACAAATATGTAAGATCTTGCATATGCAATAAATATTTATATTATTCCATAATCTTGATAAATATTTACAAGAATCAATTTTACATAATAAATATAATAATAGTTACATAATTTTTTTAATGTTAATAATTATTTCTAATGACATTTTGGGTTTCAGAAATGAGGTAGATAATTTTATTTAATTTACACTCAAATATTATATTGAACATTTTGCTCAATAAATTTTGCTTTATTTAAAGTGAGTAATAACATAAGTGTATAATATAAGTTATAGTAATCGCAAAAAATCAAAATCAAAATGTTTGCATATCTTTACGTTTTAAGGTCTTCTGAACATTTTGGCATACCTAAAAAATAGATGTATGTGTGTGCGTGTGTATGTATGTGGTGTATGTGTGTATTTGTGTGCGGATACAAATTTTCGTGGACGATTTCGGGAACTCGGGCCAACCGATATGATTAATTCAAAAAACATTCGTATTAATAAGGATACGTGTTGATTGATTTTTGGCAGAGGCAGGTCAAGCCGTTTTGAAAAGACGGGGCAAGTGAAAACAATTTTTTATAGTTCGAAAAGAAAAATGAATTTTTTCAAAAAAAATTTTTTGTTACGGGATGTTCCAGCAATTTGCCTTAGGGTAAGATGTACTGCAGGTTTAATTTATCCTATATATTAAACATCCTTTTGGTTTTTACAAGACGCTCCAATAATATGTGGCTAAAAGTGTTCGAATAAATTAAATTAATTTGATAAAATTCGTTGAAATTCTCACATTTTGAAATGATATAATTATAATTCGCTTAAATACAATATCTTAATTTGCTATGACTTTCTTAGTAAAATCCAATATCACATATTGAATATATATTTTGTTCAGACAACAACATTATGAGTTCTCCTCAGATGTTTTTTTAAATATCCGTTATATAAGTTGCAAAATTGCATTGATCACAAAAAATTGTGGATCTTTTCCACATTCCCATTTGAGATACTGTTCAAATGATTTCGATATTAAAAGATCTTCCACCTTTTCATGAAATGGTTTTGGCGCACAAAGCCTTCTCTTTTGATCACAAAAAAATTGTGGATCTTTTCCACATTCCCATTTGAGATGACTGTTCAAATGATTTCGATATTTAAAAGATCTTCCACAGTTGCATAGAAATGGTTTTGGCGCACAAAGCCTTCTTCTGTACACTTTTGGATGCCTAAACCCTAAGTTGTATCCTGAAACAAAAAATGATGTTAATTAAAAAATTTATAAATGAATATATTGAAGATTTATGAATTCTTGTAGAAACTAGAAACTTGCTCGAAGAAAATAAAACCAAACAATTTTCATAAAAAATATTTAATCCATAGTACCATTTTGGGCAACAAATAGTTTTATTTAATGTATTTAGTGTAGAAAATACTATGAATTTGGACGTACGTCTTCCTACTGTGATAAATCATAAAAATTTAAATGAAATGATTTCTCTTGAATATAGAGTTTTAAGTTATTTAAAGTACTAAATTGATATGGCCTACATTCTTTAGGAATAGTGCATAAATCACATTTTCATACATATGGTAATAACATATCATCTAAAAATACTATATGTTTCGGATAATATTAAATTAACTATAAAAAGTGATAAATAAATATATAATATAAATTCTATAAATAATTAATTATAATAATACTTTTTAATATTCTGTTTAATAATTTTAACACATATAAAACACAATATTCTTGCACAACACTGTGTAATGAATTAATTTACTTAATTAAGTGAAAACTAAATTAATTTGTTGTCTAATATAAAGCTTCTTCAATCCATTCTATTTTCAGCATTATATTTCGCATTTGGATGTTTTGCAGAAAAATGACGCTTTAGATTATTTCCTTGATAGCTTTTGTAAGGACATAAGTTGCACTTAAATTGAGGATCTTTTCCACAGTCCCAATTCTGGTGCTCCTAAGATATTGTAATCGTTTATATGATCTACCACAATTTGGGCACTGGTAAACCCTTTGGGCTTCCTTCATTCTCCAATCATTTTCTTGTATTGAAGTATTGGGTCCTGGATTGATTTGTGAAGGAGCAGTTTCATTCCAGAATTTCCAAGGTTGATTTTCTGGTGTTTCGGGAAAATAATTCGATGAAAGTTGACCTGAAAATATTGAATAAAACTGTAAAATATAGTTTTTTTTAAGTTTAACAGAGCAAATGCAAATAGTAAAATCAGATTGTTTACAGTATTAAAATATGCAGTTGAGGTAACTGGGTTCGGTTGTTCCAGGTTACGGTAGTAACAGTCATCATAACAGCTAATCTATACTGATTTTGACATATGGTCCAAAGGGAAAAAGGAGAAGTATGATTTTTCGAACAAGTTTACATAATTTCAATGAGTCAAAAAAAATCTAAAAAAATTTTTATGACCTATTTGTACGAGTAATTATTGCATTATTCAGTTTTCATGGTTTTCTTCCTTCTTAAAATAATTTTTGTATGAACGATATTTTTATTTTCCTGAGATGCCAATTGCATATGAACTGGATCGAAAACATTGTTAGGCAATATGAAAATAGGTGTGAAGATGCCCGGCACAATGTTTGTTAATTAGATTGTTTATTACTACCCCGAAGGACCATATATAATTAATAGACATGCTTTATGATGTAGTGGTGTAATGATAAAGCTACAAGATGACTCCAAAATGCACGAACCTATTTCGACAATTTTGCATTCGTTGGAAAGGTCTCGGGCTCCGCAAGGTTTATAGCTAAGAAAATTAGTGGTGCATGGCATCGTGCCTTAATGCAAATTGCTGGAACTTCACGCACCGCAATTAAAAATTCGAGTAATGACATTAGTGAGAATTATCAGAATTATGCTTGGTTAAGTCAACGAGCAATTCTTGCCGCAAAGAATAAAGATGTACACGCACTGAATTTCACCATTCAATCAAAAATTGCTGGCGATTTGGTAACATACCAATGATTCCGACTGGTCTTCCGTTTGACTTCAAACAATTGCAATTTCCAGTTCGCCTTGCGTTCGCAATAATAAGTCGCAAGGCCAATCGCTTAGTGTTTGCGGGATAAATTTCAAATTGATTATTTAGAAAATCATTGTTTTTCACATGGGCAGTTACACGTTGCCTGTTCACGTGTTGGAAAACCATCCGCTTTGTTTGTGTTAACGTCAGACCAAAAAACAAAAAATGTGGTTCACCAAAGAGCACTTTAATGAAACGGATAATTTGCGGATTCACTTTCATTTACTTAAAGAAGTTCAACAAAAAACACTTCATTTTTGTAATCGAAATAAATTCATTACTGTTGTGTAATAAAATCAATTTTTTGATTTGTATTGATTAAAGTCTTTTTTGGTGTTTAAAGTCTCAAGATAAAATAGTTTATGCATTGATTTGTACAATATGGTATATGTCACTGTTAGTTGTTAGTACACAAAGTTTAGTTGTTGCACAATTCACCACACTATTGTTTGTTTTATTGGTCACAGCACGCACAGTACCTTCCTTCCCCAGTCAAGTGTTGAAAGATTTTAATTAGACATAATAATTGCGTATGCAATTTTGATCTTGTCGCATGCTTCCAAAAGGTTAATCCCTGCAGTCGTGGATTCCGAAATAGTCTCTTGACAGCAATAGTGGGTTAAGTATGGAGGTTATAAAATTTTCAATTGCAAAGTGAATGATTGTTAAGGATTAGTAATTAGGATTGGAATCAAAGGAGATTCACGTTTAGAATTTTGTCAATCTGCGTTAAAATAGGTTTAAGTTAAATTGTTCATAAGAATGTTTGTATGTTAAATAAACGTTTTCGACATTTCATTATAACGTGCTTTATGAGATTTAATATCATCCCAAATGCTACGAGAATTACCTGGCGATTCGATATAAAAATTCCTTTCACCAACAATAAAAATCAGGCACGTAATAAACATATTATGTTAAAGAGATTCAAATGTTTTGAATACTACTTACGATCGAACGATAAATTATCTAAAGAATATTACATGATTAACGAGGCAAATAAAACACTTTCATTACTAACAACTAAACAAAATTTAACAAAACTTTTAGTGAACGACAAATTAATAATATGTATAAATATATATAAATTAATATGTTTATTACGCGTAATAAACATAATATGTTCATTACGTGCCTGATTTTTATTGCTGGTGAAAGGAATTTTTATATCGAATCGCCAGGTAATTCTCGTAGTATTTGGGGTGAGATTTTGTTTTCCGGCTAGTACCTGGTTTTCCAGGTTTGAGGTAAAATTATAAAATGAAAAAGATTTGGGATGCGTGTTCACGGTTAAGCCGAATTGAGTAATATGCAAATCAGGTTTATTGTTACTTAATTTTATGTTTTTATTATAAAAGGTGTCGTTGTCGAATACAAATTTTGCTTTATTACTTTTCTTAAATGTAGAGTCTGGTAATTTTGCAAATTTTATTATTTTTATTAGTTATGCTCTTTGTCTCGGGTTTAGGGTAATTGAATTTTTGGAAATGATTGATATATTGTTCAAACTCAGGTAATTTGATCAAAATTGGAGGTTGTTTTATATTGTTTGATCACTAAAGCTGCTAGTAGAACCTGATTTAGTGGATGCTTTATTAAGAAGTTTACGTAATTTTGATAGACATCTAGTGTGATCGTCATCGAAATCAATTAGTTCTATTTCTAATAATTGATCAATTTCTTCTTCGTCGTCTAAAAAGTTAGTTATTTCGACAAGTGTATTTTGGAATGTGTCTATCATAGGTTTCACTTTGTTCAAAATACAGTTTATCTGTAATATATTTAGTTCGCTACACGAAATTTTTGACATTTCGTTACAAGTTTGTTCAAATTCTGCTAGACGAGCTTTTATTAATGATTGTTCGTTTTGTAAAGATTGTAATGATTTTAATGAATCAATTTTAATGTAAATTCACACATAATTATAGAGTTGTTTAAGTATAGATATAGGTAAAAGATATAAAGATTTAGGATGAGCTTAAGATAAGTTAGAAAGGATTGCTTTGACTAACCTTCGCTTCGTTGATTTTTTGGAAGTTGCTATAAATTATGCTGTTGATAATCACTGTACACTGATATTTCAGTTTTCGTGGCTCAATTAATAATCACTGTAGTTAATAATCACTGTGCATTTTGTAAGTTAGTTTAAGTGGCTCGAGTGGATTACGCTGTGTTGGAAATCACTGTGCACTTTTTTTGTTAACAATAGTTAATTGTAACTAGTTTTTCACTGGAGGTCGAATCCTCGATTGGACCAAAAATGTAAGCTCCCGGCGCAATGTTTATTAAAAAGTCAATTAAAAATCACTACACACAGACACTTCACTACCCCGAAGGCCAGATATAATTAATTATTAAAAAGGCTATATCAGACATGAAATAACAAACAACTGAATGGAAAATAATAACTAGTTCAAGAATTGTTTGTATTTAATTTTAGTTAGTTGTATAAGATGTGATCGGGTCAAGGTATACGTACAGAATGAAATACATTTCTTATAACTAGCTAGTTTAGTACCTAAACTAGGGTAAGAAATTATTTTATTATGTCAGGTAGAGAGAGATGGATGAATAAAATTTGTGAGGCTCGAACAAGGTGTATATGAAAAAAATAGCTCACAAAAACATAATTTATTACTAATGTTTTAATATCACAATGATTACAAATTTTTCTTTATATTTGAACAGCAATAGGTTCTCAAGGACCCTATGTGCTATTACGATAGTATTTTTCTGATATATTTATATTATTCTTTCTTTTATACATTGATAAATAATAGGTTTAATTCTCATAACAAAATATCACACAAAATGCTGCATTTGTGGAATGCACTTTACTGATGTGTCGATCAACATTATGTTTTTTGTGACTTTTATATTCACAAATTGAACAGCCAAACCGCGGCAATTTGCCGCAGACAAATTTAGTGTGTTTTACTAGATCATTTTTATTTTTGTAACTTTTGTAACACATTTTGCATCTATAACTTGATTTTAGAGCTTCATTGGTATAAATGTCACGTGTGAAGAAACGAAATTCGGAAAAATCTGGAATAGAAAAGAGAATAAACCAGTAAGTTGTTGGAAGTAATAAAATATATAATGGAAATAATATTTCAACACGTGGTAAATATGTAGCACAGGGGGTGAAAATATGTATATGTATATATATATATATATATATATATATAATGATGAAGTCCTGAGAAGAGTGGCGAAGACAGAACTCTACTGAGCACAATCCTGAGAAGATAAGGAAACTGGATCGGACCCATTCGGCAAAAAGAGTGCCTATTACACGACGTGGCCGAAGGTAAAAAGAAGGACTGAATGGAATGGGAAGAAAAAGAATGCAGACGATTGACGACTTACGCAAGAAGAGAAAATACAGGGAAGTGAAAGCTGAAGCACAGGGCCAGGAAGCATGGAAGCAGAAGTTTGAAAAGGAAAATGTATAAATAAAAAAATAAAAAGTAATCAATGGTTGTTAACTAGTGGTAATAAAACGGTAATAGGAATATTAAATAAGGGAGGAGAGGCAAATCTTTGATTTTGTGGTGCTCTCATACCATGGACCTGCCTTCGGGCACACTACTATTTATTATTATAATGTGAAAATTATTGCAAACACAAAATCTCAAATTTATATTACTTTAAATGTATTACATGTAATAAATAGTTTAAAAATACTAATACTACTAATGAACAGCCTTTTAAATAAATTGATATAAAATCAATTTCAAATAAATTATGCACCATGGCATAATAATATTATACTGAAATATCTATTCTCGACATATCTCTTGATTCTTCTTGAAAGTCTGCAAAAACTAAGCTTTTTAAATTTTGCTCTATATTTTTTTCAATTTTATAATTTCGGTTTTAGAGCTTCATATCAGTTGTGGCAAACAATGTTTAGTAGTCTTCCAACTTTGTACAGAATTGGCTAAAGATTCCTTTATTTTTTTTATAAATTTGCTTTAAGAAGCATATGGAAATCCATTCCTTCACTGGTCATGTCTGCACAATTTCAAGTAAATCTCTGTCTTCTTCTTATATCAATTAATATTATTCCTTAAAATGAATACAATGAGCTAGATTTGGTCCATGTTTGCTCAATATATGCATTTGTAGGTCCCTTTGGCGTCTACTTCGATGGGAACATGCTGAACAGCCAAAACGAGGAGATTTTCCGCAATCAAACTTCAAATGTCGCATTAGATCATTTGACAATTTATAACATCTAAAACAATTCGGACAGCTATGCTTTCTTTGGAATATTGAATCATTCGTGAGAATATCTTGAGATGAATATTCGAAGTAATAACCTGGAAAAAATAAATAATATTGCAAATTAGTAATTGTTACAGAACTATAATTATAATTTGGATACACTGAACAATTACACTGAATTAAAACATTATAAGTAAATGTATGAAATATTTTTTTAAATAGATTTATGAAATAATCAATATTATGTTTTACAAACAAAAATGTTTGATATTTAGCGTAGTTTTTAAAAAAAAATCATTTTTTTTATTCACTGTAGTGAAAATTTGTGGAATTTACAATTGTCACCCGCAAAGGAACATTCTGTATTATAGTGACATTTTGGAAAAACAACTCAGTTTTTAAAATAATACTCATTTACAAATTGATCAAATTTTATTAAAGCATTAATATATCTTCTTTCCAAAAAAAACTCATACAAAATTTTAATAATTACACATATTCACAAAAAAAGTTGTTCGTTTGAGTGCATTAGTTGAACACGAATTTAAAGTCAAAATGGGGTGCCAAACAACAAAAAATCGAAAAATAATAAAAATCAACAGATGGACCAATTCTGCCGCATAACAGACCAATGTTATGGCAAGGCTATGTTATGAAGAACTTTTCATACAAATTCGTTCTAAATATTGACAATAGCCATATGTTTGCTGTGCAGTCAAGCGTTTTTTCCCAGTATGTCAGATAGAAAAAATAACCTAGAAACCACACAATTGTCAAAAAATAACTTAGATAGCATGGTCTTTCTGACCCAGCTTCATAACATACGAGTGACGTCGCAGCTTATGTGTAAAACGCCTGAATGCACAGCAAATACATGGCATTTTGACAATATTCAGTATGATTTAGAAGTGTAATGTATGGAAGTTGGAGCGTAACATGGCCTTGCCATAACATTGGTCTGTTGTGCGGGTAAATCGGCCCAAATGTCTCCGATCTAGTATTTCTTCGGCATAATAATTAATAACTTATAAATCCTGTCTTGACTATGACTATTAAGTTTCCTTCAAATGATCTATTGAGTTTTTTTATATTGTGAAATTTACTCCACATCGCCCCTGGGTAATCTGCAAACATATTAGCAATTAAATATCTGCAAATGTGTTTGCAAATGACTGCTGAGGTAGACAAATAAAAACTTAATAGATCAAAGAAACTCTATGGTCATTTATGGCAAAAAGGGCCACAGAAATTGAAAGATTTCTATTTATAATGTAGAAAATTACAAGTTAGAAGACATTGTCGTTTTTCATCTCTATTCTATTTTTGTAGTTTGACCCCCAATTTTGACTCTAGATTTGTGTTCAATGGTAAAAACTATATTGGAAATCATATGTTGCACACCCAATACAAACAACTTTTTTTGTGGACCTGTGTCGTTAATATTATTTAAATAAAAACGACTCAAAATAATTATACAAGTCATTATAATTCAAATACAAATCACACTATGTACTCGTACACTAGAAAATATATTAATAGTATGAATTAAATAAAATAATAAATATTGTACACATTTCCTAAAAATAAATCACTTTATTCGTTAGAAGAAATATCGTTAATATAATTTATACATTCTAGTACACAAAAAAATATTTTGCTGGAAAAATATACTGACATTATTATTTATTAATTTAGCTATTAATTTTATTTCAAAACTACAGGAGAAATTTCATAACTGAATAATACTTCTTAATAACTTTCTTCAATACTTAATAATAACTCTTTGTTTAATTTTTTGAGAAAATGCTTTTTAATTAAAGTTATTTAATTTCTTTTATTTTATTTGTTTCGCGAGTAAAGCATGTACAGAAAACTATCAAATCTTTTACTAAAAACTATATAAGACTTGTTTTAGTACACACAATGGTTCTGAGTCGGTTTTGCTGTTTTTATCACAAATATGAAAATAAAATTGGAGCATAATTCACTGCAACTACTTTATCATGCCCTTTTGTGACCAAAACATATCAAAAATTAAATAAATAATTGCAAATCAAACAATTTGCAACATTTCAATCACAATCACAAGCAAACAGGTACTATCTACGAAATTCAGTTTTTTTTTGTTTCAATATTTCCATTATTGTTTCAAAAATAAACAATAAGCCATTTCATTCACATGTCTACAAATAATATGTCTCTCAATATTTTGTTTTCTTTTACTACGATATTGACAGGCTGAACATCCAAATCTTGGTAATTTTCCACAGTCGAATTTTAAATGTCGATAAAGATCAGTATGCAATTTATATCGACTATTGCAATTGGAACAGCAATAAATTCTTTGGCCCAAAATATCACTGGAATAATTGGCTGGCTCAGGAAAACCTCGAAAATATCCTGAAAAATAAAAAAAATATTAGAAATAAAATTCACACCTATAATACATCAAACTTTTTTATGTAATCATACCTAATATCTTAGTTATCTTGCACTTTCAAATTTGTTTGAGGTATTAATAAAATAAATATAGAATTT